GCTGTGTCTATATGTTGTACTCCTTGCCTGTTCATATATAACAACTATCTTTATTTTGTCCTCAGGATAAAGAACCTAATTGAATCCTAACTGTTAAGCTCTGAGCATGCTCACCACCAGGCTTCAGGTACGCTCTGTCAGGGATCTCACGTCCTATTTTCATGCAGAGATGTAGTAGTGTGTCTGCAGACTGTCATGGCCGCTCTGACCTCGTTAACCTCGTGTTCCTCCGACACATTTCTGCTCTCAACACGTCTCTCTTACACCCGGGAGAATATTCCAACAATGACAACATGTCCGAATAAAAGTCTCTCCACATTCAGTATATAATAAGTACTCTGTGAGACTTCTCTTGCCTGCTTTATAGGAATCACTTTATCCAGAGGTGTAAAGTAGATTTTGAGGTACTTGTACTTTACTTGAGTATTTCCATGTTATGCTACCTTGTACTTCTACTCCTACAGTTCAGAGGTACATGGTGTACTTTTCCTCCACTACATGTATTTAATACCTTTAGTTACTTCACAGATGTGGATGAATGATGTGAAATATAATCAAGTGTTAAATCAGACTTTAGTTCCCCCTGGAGTAAATCCACAAGCTACCCTGCAGTATACAAAGTCATTCAAACTAGCTGCACCTTTACCAGCTTTGAGAACACTTTCATGATCAATCATTATAAAACATATCATATATATTATTCTGAAATGGACCAATCTGCACAATCACTACTTTTACTGTCGCTACTTTAACTATATTTTGATGAGAATATTTCTACTTTCACTTGAGGAACATTTTGAATGCAGTACTTTTACTGTAACAGAGTATTCCTACACTCTGGTACTTCTACTTTTACTCAAGTACAAGATCTGAGTTACTTTTACTCAAGATCTGAGTACTTCTACTTTACTCAAGTACAAGATCTGAGTACTTCTACTTTTACTCAAGTACAAGATCTGAGTACTTCTACTTTTACTCAAGTACAAGATCTGAGTACTTCTACTTTTACTAAAGTACAAGATCTGAGTACTTCTACTTTTACTCAAGTACAAGATCTGAGTACTTCTTCTACCTGTGCTTATATCTGTCAGGCTTTTATTTATTAATATTATCTTATAATTTTTCCTAGGCAGTATATAAACATTAAAACCATTATTATATATATTTTAAATGTATTTACTTGGTTTGTCAATACATGTACTTTGCTCAAAATACGTGAGGACGTCAGATAGATATAGATAGATAGATAGATAGATAGATGGATAGGTAGATAGATAGATAGATAGATAGATAGATAGATAGATGGATAGGTAGATAGAGATAGATAGATAGATAGATAGATAGATAGATAGATAGATAGACTACGCTCAGCATCGATGGCTCTCTGGCTCGCTAGCTCTGGTAGCATAGAAACGGTCCAAAATATTTCTGCATGAATACTTAAAGTCATGTTCAATTGTACGTTCAGTCTAGTTAAATAAAATCCCCCTTTTATTAATTAGAGTCAACCTAAAGTGTCTCCTCTTCTGCAACAGAGAGCTCCAGCGTTTCGCTTGCAGCCTCTTCCAGGAAAGAGCCATCATCGCTCCCCTCTAATCATCCGGGTTTTAACACCTAATCACCATAATTCACCCCTCACCTCTCAGCAGAGCTGCTCTCCTGCTGCAGGAAACACAATGTGATGCTATCTGCTGCAGGAAGAGCTAACATCTACACCACTGGGACCGAAATAGCAATGAGACACAGAGCAAGAGAAACACAATACAACATGGCTTTTCAAACCTTAGATAAAACCGTCATTAAAAAGACAAGAGGATAAGATAGACCTTTATTGGTTCCCATAGAGAAATCAGGAATATATAACAATTAAAACAAGATTTAAAAAATGTATAAGGGCCCTATTGATATTCAGATGTATATCAGTATGTAGTGCTTTTTAAAGTAGAGACACTACATACTGATATACACCTGAACATCAGCAGGAGAGGACTCTTTAAAGTAGAGACACTACACACTGATATACACCTGAACATCAGCAGGAGAGGACTCTTTAAAGTAGAGAGACTACATACTGATATACACCTGAACATCAGCAGGAGAGGACTCTTTAAAGTAGAGACACTACATACTGATATACACCTGGACATCAGCAGGAGAGGACTCTTTAAAGTAGAGACACTACATACTGATATACACCTGAACATCAGCGGGAGAGGACTCTTTAAAGTACAGACACTACATACTGATATACACCTAAACATCAGCAGGAGAGGACTCTTTAAAGTAGAGACACTACATACTGATATACACCTGAACATCAGCAGGAGAGGACTCTTTAAAGTAGAGACACTACATACTGATATACACCTGAACATCAGCAGGAGAGGACTCTTTAAAGTAGAGACACTACATACTGATATACACCTGAACATCAGCAGGAGAGGACTCTTTAAAGTAGAGACACTACATACTGATATACACCTGAACATCAGCAGGAGAGGACTCTTTAAAGTAGAGACACACTACATACTGATATACACCTGAACATCAGCAGGAGAGGACTCTTTAAAGTAGAGACACTACATACTGATATACACCTGAACATCAGCAGGAGAGGACTCTTTAAAGGAGAGACACTACATACTGATATACACCTAACATCAGCAGGAGAGGACTCTTTAAAGTAGAGACACTAAATACTAATATGAAACTGAACATGAGGAGAATAGGGCCTCTTTAAACAATTGTAAGCCTCCTAACTGTAAGAGACAGTTAGAGGAAAATGAGTGCGTCTCTTTGCAAGATTTATAATGAGGAGACCGTCATGATCTGTCTGTTATGTGCTCTATTTTTAATGTGCTCATAATGTGTTGGAGCACTAATGAGTTGGAGGTCACACACCATTGATCACTGCCTCCGTCACACCCTGCCACCAAACACCCATCAGTATCAGATTTAACTCTCTCCTCAATGTGTTTTTGGTTGTTATCCTGAAATAAGGTCTGTGGTTAACACAAGCTGAAGAGATTTACACGTTTTGATCTACAACATGAAATACGTCAGATACCCCACTGGTGAATTTAGATACAGAGGTTGCTAACAAGTGTCTAAATGAGACGACTAAACGTCATCACGCCCAACATTATCCACCTTTAGCTTAGCGGTGGTGACGTGAAGTCATGTGACCGTGCTGTAGTTCCTTTATAGCCCAACATTAGCCACCTTTAGCTTAGCGGTGGTGACGTGAAGTCATGTGACCGTGCTGTAGTTCCTTTATAGCCCAACATTAGCCACCTTTAGCTTAGCGGTGGTGACGTGAAGTCATGTGACTGTGCTATATTTCCTTTATAGCCCAACATTAGCCTCCTTTAGCTTAGGCGGTGGTGACGTGAAGTCATGTGACCGTGCTGTAGTTCCTTTATAGCCCAACATTAGCCGCCTTTAGCTTAGCGGTGGTGACGTGAAGTCATGTGACCGTGCTGTAGTTCCTTTATAGCCCAACATTAGCCACCTTTAGCTTAGCGGTGGTGACGTGAAGTCATGTGACCGTGTAGCTCCTTTATAGCCCAACATTAGCCTCCTTTAGCTTGGTGGTGGTGACGTGAAATAAATAATGTCTGATTCTTTTACAACAGACACTATATTAGTTAGTATATAGTTTTTACTTTAATCCTGATAGCAATCCACCATTTTTGTGTGACAGTTATCAGATTTTTTTAGTGAAAACAGTATACAGTTTAATTTACAGTTAAAAAATGTATTGTAATCCTGTTAGTATTGCCTTTTTTTTGGGTTGAAATGTCACAGTAATCTGTCCTTTTTACGTAAAGGAATACACTTTTTTGTATCCTCATAACGAAATCCGGTTAAATGTAATCCACTACTCCCAGCCTGGTGCCCATTAGGAGTCTCTACAGTGAATGGGGGAGGATGGGAGGGTGCTCTCTCCTCACTTTCCCTCTGCAGACTCGGGGTGAGGATGTTCTCTCCCTCCGTGTGACTCGCATTGACAGCTTGTTTTGTTCGTTTCTGAGAAAGAAGATCGTGGAAAATGCCAAAGTGTGTTTCCGGTCCTCTTACGCACGCTGCAGGTTCCCGTGTTTCTGAAGCGATAAGAGAAGAGGAGTGATGTGAAAGACTTAAATCCTCCATGGATCTCCTGCACTGAGGATGGCTGAAGACGTGACCTGTTGCAGCTTCTCTCTCAGATCAGTGTTTGGATGGATAACACGCGCTTCGGATTGTTAAATAATGCGGGATTTAATCACTTTTTCATGGATTTGTTTCTTTTATTTTGAAATCGTCTCTAATGTGACACAAAAGGAAAACACACAGCGATTGTTTTGAACACATTTGGAAGTTGAGGAACATTTCATTCGCTGTTTTCGTGCGTAATAAACCTCAGGATGGACTCAAACTGATCTCCTCGCTGTTTGTGTCTTTTGTTTTGAAATCCTCATAATTGGACACGAAAGAAACTCAATCCGTGATTGTTTTGAACATATATGGAAGTTAAGGAACATTTAATTCTGTGTTTTTTTGCGTTATAACACCGAGGATGGCCTGAAACTGATCTCTGCTGTCACACCCTGCTTTCCAGGAGACTCTAACCATGGATTCGTGTCTTTTATTTTGAAATCTTCTCTAATTAGACACACATGGAGATCAGTCCTCCGTGATTATTTTGAACATATATGGAAGTTGAGCAACATATAGTTCGGTGTTTTCTTGCGTAAGAACACCGAGGATGGACTGAAACTGATCTCGTCGCTGTTTGTGTCTTTTGTTTTGAAATCGTCTCTAATTGGACACGAAAGGAGCTCAGTCCGTGTTTGTTTTGAACCTAGGCCTTTATGGAAGTTAAGGAACATTTCAATCGGTGTTTTCCTGCGCCGAGGATGGACTGAAACTGCTCTCAGCACCGCGCCCTGCTGCTTTCCAGGAGTCTATAACCTCCTTTTTTTTCTCCTCCCCTTCCCCTCCTCCTCTTTTCCTCCAGAATGGCCCGGTTTGGAGACGAGGTCCCGGGCTTGCTGAGCTCCGGGGATGGAGGCTCCGAGCTGCACCGGATCCGGGATGGGGGGGGGTCTCTCCACAGGGGGCATCTCTCCCGCTTTTAAACAGACCAAAGCGCAGCGCGCCCGCACCATGGCACTGTACAACCCAATCCCGGTGCGCGAGAACTGCTTCACCGTCAACAGGTCGCTCTTCATCTTCGGAGAGGACAACCTGGTGCGGAAGTACGCCAAGAAAATCATCGACTGGCCATATCCTTTTATTCCTCTGGTGTGAGGGAAGGGGGTCTTATGAAGACCTGGGGAGAGGGTCACAGAGAGGTGGGTAAAAGTGTCCCAGTGTAACACACAATTTCATGTCCAAATTACACACAGAAAAATTATGATATCATATTTCATTCTATTATATCATTTGATTTATTTTCAAATTATGATATTAAATATTATACATTATTTTTATTTTATTTTATTATACTATATTCAATTATATTTTTATATTCTTATTTTAGTTATATTGTGTGTATATATGTGTTTTATTATCTTATACTACATTATTTTACATACTATTATGCTATATTATTATATTCATTTATATTATGTTTTATTATATTGTTTTATTTAATATGATATGATATGTTATAATATATTATACATCATTTTCTTATATTATTTTCTTATTTTTCTATTTTATTTTTATTTGAATATATTATATTTAATTATATTATTTTATATTTTAATAAATTATATGATATTCTATGTTATTATATATTTTTTATATAATATTATATTATAGTGTCTGGCTCTTAGTTATGTGCAATTGAAAGTCTATTGGGAGTTTCAGCACCATGGACAGCACACTCAGGGTAGTACATGAGAAACACACACACACACACACACACACACACACACACACACACACACACACACACACACACACCACACACACACACACACACACACACACACACACACACACACGAGTTGTTTGAGTGATACATTTCCTCTTTGGTTTTCTTTAATTAATACAATGCTGTGATAACGAGCTCTGAATCTGACTCTCCAGGTGCATCAGTGGCATTATTTCAGGATGTTATGGAACAATAGTGAATGCAATTAGAGGATCAAACATCATTTAGACTTGTTTATCTATTTCCAGACACAAAGCAGGGCAGCAGGAGAGTGTGTCGGTGGAAAGTGTGTTAGAGGAGTTTCTGTGTTTATGGCAGTAAATCCTTTCTGTCAACAAGAGGCTCTGAACACACACTCTGATCTGTGAATATATCGAGCCCAACAACAGCTGCAACAGGTGGTCGTCGCATCTAAATTTAGTCCTATTATTGGTAGATAATACGATCAATTGTTTTGGTAATTTTTAAGCAAACATATCTGGCTCTGACTTCTCCATTGTGAGGTTTTGCTGCTGATCTCTGTAGACGTTGTGGAATATGTTTGACTTTTGTGCTGTGGATGGGAACAAAACAAGACATTTGAACATATATCATTTTACAATTTGGGCATCTCTGATTGGCCGGGGCAGATTTTGATCCTTTTAGTGGTTATTTTCTATCATTGTGGTTCATTTGAGTTTATTTATGGTCATTTTGTGTGATTTTGAGGTTATTTTGAGTTACCTTGTTGTCTTTCTATTTCTTATTGTTGTCAAATCTGTAAGACACAACTCATCTCATAAATAGTGTGCTTTTAGTCGACACAGAATGACCACAAATTGACCCCAAAATGACAAAGAAACACCACATTACCAGTAAGAGGAAGATAATCACTACAAAAAGACTCAAAATGACAACAAAGTAACCTTAAAAACACATAAAAAGACCTTCTAAACACGTTAAATTACCTTAAAAACACATTCAATGATCTTAAAACACATGAAATGACCTTCTAAACATATTAAATAACCACAGAGACAAAAAGATATTTAAGAAACACATTGATCACACATTGTACACGAAAAATAACCAAATTGACCACAAGGATACACACTGTTTCTTTATTAGTCCCTTTGAGTCTTTTCTGCTCATGTTGTGGGAATTTGTGGACGTTTTAGTATTAATTGTGTGTCTTATTTGGGTCAATTAGTGTCTCTATGTAGTTTGTCAGTCACTTTGAGTCCATGTGTCTATTTGTTGAAGGCCAGTAAACCTAATAGGCGTTTTTTGTTATGTTGCCTTCCTTCACATCGTTTACCGCTTACACCTTTATTAACTTACTTCAGTGCTGTGACATTAGGGACATTCTGGCTGCTTTCTCAAACCCTCTCCCTCTCTCTTGAACTCCCCGTATCATTTCCTGCCTCGCTGTGCGGCTCACCAGGTGTTTTTTCGGCCAGGTGACGCTTCCTCTCTGCTTTTGTTCCCGTCCATTCAGCAGCTTCCTGACGGCACACCATGAAAACCGGGGCCTCTATTGTTGGGAGCATCCATTGTGGGTCTTCTCTGGGTTTACCCAACGTGTTGAGGTGATTAAAAATAGAAACGGGATGAATTTCAATCAACAGCTGAGGAAAAAAACAGTAGAAGGGTTTGTTTGTTGTCGTATTACAGATGTTTGAGGCAGTTTAGACATGCTTCAGAAATCCTTTATCCGTCCATAAGTCAGGAAATTAGAACAGCAAAGGTACACATAAAAGGCACGAGTAAGAAAGAGGCGAGCACATGTTGGTAAAATACAAAACAAATAGACACACATCCATGGAGAACTAATATATATGAAAGGTGTGAAGGAGCCAGCTACATTAACACATTGTAAATAAATAGTATAAAGAAAGTCTTTATCTACCTACTTGTATAATTTATTTACAACAAACTACCCAGCTGTCTAGTTTCCTACCTAGCAACCAACCTAGCTAGTTAGCAAGCCATCTACCTACCTGTTTAATTTACTACCTACTTAATTTCCTAATTTCTTTCCTACCTACCTACCTACCTACCTACCTACCTACCTACCTACCTACCTACCTACCTACCTACCTACCTACCTACCTACCTACCTACCTACCTACCTACCTACCTACCTACCTACCTTCCCACCTGTCTAATGTCCTACCTAGTTACAAACCTGGCTAGCTAGCAAGCCATCAACCTACCTGTCTAATTTGCTACCTACTTATTATTGCTTTCACACACTGGCTATTCTTCCTGGGGTCCACACACACACACACACACACACACACACACACACACACACACACACACACACACACACACACACACACACACACACACACACACACACACACACACACACACACACACACACAGGAAAAAGGTCGGCCATGTGTTTGCAGGACAGCTCGTCTGGCTCACCTCGCTGTGAGAGCCTCTGAGTGATCATTAACATCAGAGGATGAATTCAGGGAGTTTCCAGAGGCTTTGAGTGAGTACCAGTGGAAACACAGAGGTGTGTGTGTGGGCGTTAGAGAGCCTATTACACTCCGTTTGATATTTATTGGAGTACATTTTCTCTGAATGAATGAAATGAGTGAAAGCATTCTTTGAATCTGAAGTCATGATGATGAGCTCTGGTTTCTCTGAGACTCGTTTTACTTTGAGACTTGTGGAGTGTTGTGGAGGAATATATTATATATTTAAATACGTATTGTTATCCTGCTAGTAATCCACATTTTTTAAGACATGTAAGAGTAATGTGATTTCTTTTGTGTAAAGGATAGTGGTGGTCTAATGGATATTGAGGTGGGCTGAAGATCGGAAGGTTGTGAGTTCAAATCCCGCCAGGAACACCACCACTGGTGTGCCCTTGAGTAAGGCACTTAGTCCTCAGTTACTCCAGGGGGAATGTCCCTGTAATTGGTCATTGTAAGTCACTTTGGATAAAAGCATCAGCTAAATGAAATGTAATGTAACTATAAGGAAATACAGTTCCCTTTTTTTGTATCCTGACTACCCGTTACATGTAATCCATTACTCCCAAAGCCTGGTTACTGATTATGTTTCCAGGTAATAGTAGAATACATGTTTAAAGTACCCCTGCATGAAGCTCTCAGCAGAAAGAGGTGCGTTTGATTTTCGGCCCCCTGTACCTGCAGCCTGATGGAGGCTCGGCAGGGAAGGTCACAGCTAATTAAGCCCGAGTTTAGTGAGGCGATCCTGGGGAGGACTGACAGCTGCTCCCCCTGTCTGATCCCCACTGAGACCCCCCCTGCTGTGGGAAGTTTCCCATTGAGAAGATACACCTCTCAATAATTCATCGTTGGATTTATAATAGCTTGTTTCATGAGGGCGCTGCGTAATAACCGCGTGCTCGCTGGCTGTCTTTAAAGTGTGGAACTTTTTTTTTTTGTGATCACATGTTTTGCATTTACAACCAAAAGCACACTTTTTTTTCTTTTTTTTTAAATAAAATAACTAAAAGTACATAAGAAAAAGTAAAATGAGACAACAGCACATACTTACAAAATATACAAAATGCAGAATTAATAAAAAAATAATAACAATAATACAGACCTCCCTCCCAGACATATAAACACACACACACACACACACACACACACGCACGCACGCACGCACGCGCACGCACGCACGCACGCGCACGCACGCACGCGCACGCACGCACGCACACGCACGCACACACGCACGCATGCACGCACGCACGCACGCACGCACGCACGCACACACACACACACACAGGATGTTCTTTTTTCTATAGCAGAGGGGTTTGAATGCATGAATGCTAATTTAATGAAGGGTGTATTTAAAGTTGTAATTCCTTGGTGGAGCTTAAACTTGAGGATTGAACATTCATTTCTCTCCTAACTGAATTGCATCCTTGCATGAAAAATGGAAATGGAAATGAGCGAGGAAATGACCCCGCTGTCCCCAGAGGTCGCCCCGCCCAAAACCAAATGACTAAAACTGATTTTCCGCCCATTGATCGCTGTGTCACTTCTTTAATGAGAGCTGATTTCTTAGAGGGAATTTATCTGAAGAAAACAAAAGTAGTTATTGTGGATTTGGATTATGCTAAGTGTGCACTGGTCTGCAACCAGAAGAACGTTAGATCACCTTTTCAACTTTTCAACTGTTCCTTTATAGCCTAACGTTAGCTTTTTACTTCAGAAATCATAAGGTGGTGGACCACACAGAGACACACAAGGACCACATAGAGACACACAAGGACCACATAGAGACACACAAGGACCACATAGAGACACACAAGGACCACATAGAGACACACAAGGACCACATAGAGACACACAAGGACCACATAGAGACACA